GAGGAGAGAGGAGAGAGGAGAGAGGAGAGAGGAGAGAGGAGAGAGGAGACAGGAGCTGTACAAGGCCCGCCTTTTATAAGCAATCAGTGAATGTGCACAGGGGGTGCTCTTAGTGGCTGCAGGTGAGGTCTGTCCTGTTAGGACCCTAACGGCAGGCCAGTACAGACGCCTAAATGCTAACAGTGGCTGGGTTTTATTACATATTTCACGACCAGGTAAAACCAAGTGGTTATATCCTGAAGGAGAAGCCTCTGAGGTTTTAAGGCTAGATTATGAATGATTACAAATGATTCAGTTGTTTTACTGTTTTAAAAATTGAAACCAGTGGTCACCTATCACTTACTTTTCAGAATCAAGTCCTCTTACAAACCCAAATGAGGAAAGCAACCCAGAAGAGTGCTATCAGTCTGCAAGTTCCCTGGGTTGATTTCATTCTCTTAAAATGTCATCGATTCTGTCATTCTTCAACACCTGCCACAGCACTGTGAAATTATTAGGGACCTGCTCACTGAACCAGTGACCTTTCCTGCAACACCTGACACTTCCTGCCTACTGCTTCTTTTTATCAATTTCTTTGTACACGTATCAGGGATTATAGCAGTTAGTTCTAAGTCGAAGGGCAGAGGGAAGAAAACATTTTATTTTCAAGGCAAGTTTCCTATTATTTAATCCATTTTAAGCATTAATCTTAAAATTGTCACTCCTGTAAAAAATAATCTTCCACTATTTCATGCATAATGCACGGATTCCATTCCCCTCCCCTTATCATCTCTTATTCTCTTCCTAGACCTTTCTCCTTCCCTCAACAGTCCTCAACAGGTCCCCAAATGCTTAGGCCAGAAGGAAACTTACTCAACTCAGAGCTTTGCTATGTGGGACTGAACAATATTCTATAGATCCCAGGAATCAGTCTGCTTTATTGCTCCAGAAGGTTGAGTCAGTGTGATAGAATGGTCTTTTTTTGAAGACCTGGGGTGGAGCTAGCCTTCCTATTTACTTGCTTTCCTGACTCTGGGTAAATCACTTCATTTCTCAAGGCCTCAGCTTCCTCCAGTTTTAAAATATCACCAAGTTTTAACAAAGAGCTAAGATAAGAAATGGTAACAGTCAAATGAAGTATATTGGGTGGTATGTCACAGTATATGTGGAATTACTGACTAAAATTATAAAAATAATTCCATATATTCTAGTAGGGACTGTAGGAGAAAAGAATAAGCCATTGTGACTTTTATAAAATCAATGAACCAAGGAAATGAAAAATACAAAAGATCTTGTGGGAAAACAATTTCTTATAATTGTCTATGAGAAAAATACAAAGCAATAGAAGAGATTTTACTCACACAGCTTTGAGAGTAAACAATACCTTTATGAACCGAGGAGAACTATAATACAACTAAGATGTTACACTTTTAATAGTTTAAAAAACATTGTTTTGGAAGGAATATGTGTGTGTGTATCCTACTTTAAAGTTTACTATCAATCCATAAAGTAATTAGGTAAGCTAAATTCTAGAAAGAATCTGTCCACCCACCCCCACCCTCCACAAAAATCTGGGCCAGCCTGGTCTATAGAGTGAGTTCTAGAACAGCCAGGGAAAATCTGTTGGGGGGGGCAGGGAAGAAGCTGTCCCAAACATAACTCATTTGGTGGCATTACTGTACCCGAATCTTGGTATTCAAATATGGACTACAAAAAGACACTGGAATTGTGGGCATTTCAGAGATTGCACATTAGAAAAATAAAGACTAATCCAATTGTTATCAATATACTTGTGATGGTTATTCTTTGTTGTCAACTTGTCTAGATCTGGGATTAACTAAAACCCAAGCAGCTGGGTACACCCATAAGAGTTTTTTTTTTTTTTTTTTTTTTTGGTTTTTCGAGACAGGGTTTCTCTGTGTAGCTTTGCGCCTTTCCTGGAGCTCACTTGGTAGCCCAGGCTGGCCTCGAACTCACAGAGATCCGCCTGGCTCTGCCTCCCGAGTGCTGGGATTAAAGGCGTGCGCCACCAACGCCCGGCCGAGTTTTTTTTCTTAACTAAATCATCTGAAGTGAAGACCCACTTTTAATCCAGATCTTCTGAAAATTCACCTTTAATCTGGGCTACAGCTTCTGCTGGCAGCCTATGTGAAGGACATGGAAGAAGGAAGCTTGGCCTCTTTGCTTGCTTGCTCTACCTCACGGACAAGTCCGTTCCTTCACTGGCATTAGAGCCCACTTCTTCGGCATTCTGGTGAACATTGAAAACCAGCTGAGGCATCCATTCTCACGGACTGAACAACTGGATTCTTGGCCCTTTCTGTGGTAGACAGCCATTGTTGGGACTAGCTGGACCATAGCCTGTAAGCCATTCTAACAAATCCCCTTTCTACAAATTCTGTTCCTAGAGAGAACCCTGACTAATACAATAGTGGATATGTGAAAGGTCCTCAACAAAGTCAGTAACTGGGGAAATATAAGTTAAAACTGAAATGAGAGACTCTCCACACTGAGCAGGATGAGAAAACTGAGTTCTTGCCAGAGTCGTGAGGTGTGGAGCAATGGCACTCATATGTAGCTAATGTGACTGAATCATGTTAGAAGAGCGTGTGACATTATTTATTCATGTTTTATGATATACACTCTCAAGTACAGATTACACAGAAACTGATGTAGATGAGAGGGAATACAGACTTAAGGAACTCTTTGCAACAGCATTTATAGCAGCCTCAAACTGAACCCAGACTTCCATCAACAACAAAATGGCTAAACAAACTGTTACAATGAAACACTGTATATGCAGCAATTAAAGGGGACGAATTATAGCTATATGAACAACCTGAACAACATATGGATTACAGCACAGTTGAGCAAATATGGTAAGCATAACAGATTACATGTTATCTCATTTATGTACCATTCACAAGAAAGGGAAAAACTAAACAATGTAATGCTTAGGGATGAACACCTGTGATAAAACAATAAAGAAAAGCAAGGAAATGATTACCACAAAGGTCAGAATAATAGTAACTTCCAAGGGAGAGGGAGAGTTGTGTTTAGGAAGGTCATTAGAGGGCTTTTGGAAGGTTAGCAAAACTCCACTGACTGGCCTGGTTGACTGCTTACAGGGTAGTTTCTTTGATAATTACAGCACACAATTGCCTTCTATGTTTAAAGTCTATTTCATGAAAAAGCTTAACTGATAGAACAGTAGAAACCAGCCAGGCGGGTGGCACACGCCTTTAATTCCAGTACTCGGGAGGCGGAGGCAGGCAGATCTCTGTGAGTTTGAGGCCAGCTTGGTCTACAGAGTGAGATCCAGGACAGGCACCAAAACAGCACGGAGAAACCCTGTCTCGAAAAAGTAAAAAACAACAACAACAAAACCAGTAGAAACCACTGGCATGAGATAATAAAACCTTGATTAGTTTCTCATACAAGCTCATTCAAGGGAAAAGTTATGAAACCTATATGGACATCCCTTCGTCACACTCTTAACACCGTATGCAGATCTTTATGATAAAGTGATGAGCCAGGAAAAGAACCCTGTTACCTGAAATAAGTTTTTGATCCTGATTTACATTTTTGGAAATCTGATGTATTTCTCTTCTTGATTCATAGGCAATATACAGAACTGAAGGGATATGGAACGAGTTGGACATGTACGAGTTCCTCCTCTCCAGCAGCCAGCTGTGTAACAGCTGTTTTCTCCTGTTACCAGGCTGGGAGGGGAAGAGAATGGATCTTATTCAGTAAGCTTAGTGGAGCTGCTGTTCCTAAGTAGGTGGCTCAGGGCTCACAAGAGTGCCACTCTGTCCCTCAGCGACGGGGTTCTAAAGTGGAACCCTAGGCAATGAAACGGCTCAGGCCTCTGACCACTCTGCCTGGCACACACTTTCCTGGAAGCCTTCTCAGTGGCAGAGCTCTGATGTCTGGACTCTCTCCATTCAAAGTCCACACAACTAAACTCTGAGGGGCCCAGCTTCACAAAGCTCCCCTAAACCTATATTGCACATCTGTAATTTCTGCTATTAGGAAGAGAGGTCAACAAAAAGGATTATGTTGCAGCCATGTCTGGCTATTGATTCTCTGTGAGTCTTCCTTGAACATGGCAGGTGAATGGATCATGCTTGTAGACTGTCAAACCCAGTGTGAGGAGGGTGAGATATCCCACTCCTGGGATTTCAGGTGGAGTACATCAGGGTGGAGTCTGTCCTTACTTCTGGGGCATCCTCCTCCCCCTTATTTATTTATTTATTTATTTATTTATTTATTTATTTATTTATTTATTCTTGCTGCCTTTGAACAAAAATGAACCCTTGATTTATCAGAGTAGACATTTCCTTGATCTACTGTTTGCATGTGGTGGCTGCAGCAGTGGCAAAGCCCTGTGTTTCCCAAATATGTGGATAGTGTATTTAAAATGTCCAATCTTCCCAAGCAAGGTTGAAAGAGCTAAGATACCCACCAGTGATGCTTCCAGAGGCATGGGGTGCTGGGGTCCGGCCACACAACTGTGGGATTCGTTTCTCTTCACCTCTGCTGCTGCTCTAATCTCATTCTCACACCACTAAGGAGGGAAGCAGGTTCAAGACAGATTTCTTGAGGACTGTGGTCCTTTTATCTTGAAAATTCTTTTACTAGAGAACCACAGCTTAAATTTCACTAGATTTTCCTAAAACCTATTTCCTAGAACAGAATCTGTAGGGCAAACAGCCCAATATATTTATTAATAACGGGGAGGAGGGGGAGGGGGAGGAAAGGAGGGGAGGGAGGAATGCGCGCGCGAGCGCGCTTGAGTAAGTCCTGAGACGCGGGCCAAAATTTTTCGAAGATAGTAAGGGATGCATTGTGATGAACAAGATCAGCTCTCCCAAAGATCCAAGAGACTAGCAAGAATGACTCTTAAAAGGGAGGCTCGACTACATCCGCCCCTTGAAAACGTAGAAAACCCTTCTATAATAGCCCAGAGTTGGTTCGCTTTCAGCCCTCTGCTCCCCAATCCCGGCAATTCGCCCCCTTTCCCACAAAAGCCTGAAGTTGCAACTCCACAATGTCAAAGCCGCATCCCTTTCCTTTCACGGCTAGAGGGTGGGGGTGGGGTGTATCACAACTCTCAGGTTTCTAAGCTGCGATTTACAAAAACACTTGCACTTCCCACCATCACGGCCGAGTTCCGGGATTGCTAGGCGAAAGGCATTCATTCACCCATGCATTCACTCATCAAAACCTTCGTACCGCACCGCCACACATATAACGCGGCTCAAGGTTTCGCCCCACTCCACGGGAAGGGTGGGGCATGCTCCCGGGAGCAGGTGCAGCAACTGGGCTGTAGGTCAACTTTTCCACCCGTCTCGCTGTTTCGAGAGTCTGCTCTGGGCCAAATGCCTCACCTTCGGGTGGTGCGCGCCCTAGCCCGGCCCTGGGGCCTGGGCCTCCTCCTCGTTCCCAGAGGAGCAGTCCGCACCTGCCCCGGAGGGAACGGCTACGGAGCTCGCTCTCCGCGCCGCCCTCGGGTCAGGGGTAAGATCAGGCGGTAGCTTAGGCTCGCCTGGGCTCCTCCCCTTCCTCTCTTCAGTTCTGACGCGGCCGTAGAGGCGGTGGCGGCGGCGGCGGCGGCAGCGGCGGCGGCAGCAGCAGCAGCAGCAGTCCCGCGGCCCGAGGCGCACCCACCCGCTCACAGCGCTCGACTTCCTCTTCCCTTGGTGCGTCATCAGCGCGCGCCGCAGTCTCCCAGGGCGGGGTGGCTGGAGATGGGGAGAAAAGGCCAGCGGAGGAAGGCGCAGAGAGGAAAGAGAAGGGAGGGGGAGGAGAGCGGTTGCTAGGCGACTTGCGTCATCGCCGGGCGCCGCTCTCCTCCCGCCCCTCTCTGGAGTGAGGCGAGAGCCCCGCACAGAGCGAGGGAGACAGCGAGCTGAGCTCCGGGCGCTGCCGCCGCCGCCGGTGAGAGCGTGAGAGCGAGTGAGTGAGCGAGCATCCGAGAAGACCGGGCGCCCGTGCACTGGCCGCCGCCGAGACCTTCGCTTCAGCCCGGGCCAGCGGGAGCCGCGGCCGCCGTCTGCTCCCCCCCTTACCTTCCCGGCCGGCAGCGACTGCCGCCGGAGCCGGAGCCCTAGCCGGAGCCGGAGCCCGCGGCCGGGGGGCAGGGAGGCGGCTGCTGCGGGTCGGGACTGATAGCTGCTCAGCCGGGAGAGGACGCCCGCGAGGGGCTGGGCTTTCTGCCTCGCCCCGGGGAGTGGGGCGAAGGACCCCCCGAGGTGTAGGGAGGGGGTCCCGGCCGCCGCGACACATGCGGGAGCCGGGAGCGGGGGCGGCGCCGATCCGAGCCCGCCGGGTCCCCAGCCTAGCCACAGTCCGGTCCGGCCGTCCGAGGCCGTAGCATCCCTTCGTGGAGTGTATGAGCCGGGGCCCCCAGCCCAGGAGCCACCGCCGGGCCGGGGGGGCGGGGACCCCGATGTGAAGCGGCTGCGGCGGCGTGGTGAGCGGCCCGGGCGCCGCCGTCCTCTCCTTCCCCTCCCCTCCCCTCCCCTCCCCTTCACCCCCTCTGGGGGGCTTCTCTTTGGGCCCGCCGCCGCCCCCTCGGCTCCTCGGCGGGACTCCGGGAGTTCTCGGCGCCCCCCTCCCCGCCCCAGCCCCCCCCAGGGCAGCGGGGCCGGGGGGGACCCGGGGGGCCGGCCGCAGCCTCCACCCAGAGGAAACTTTACCCAAACAAAATCATCGAGCTTTCCGATCGTGACTGTCCCGGGACAAGTGGCCCAGGACCGGCAGAAGCCACAGCCTGCAGAGAGACCCAGGAAGAGGAAAACCGGTGAGCGGGGCCGCCGCCTCTCCCCCGGCAGCAGCGCGGAAGAGACCCGGGTGGTTGCCTGGTGGAGCGACGCTACTAGCACCGCTTCTTCCTCAGTTCGGCGCCCAGCCTTTCGCAGCTGCCGCCTCAGCCCGAAGGAGGAAGGGAGCCAGCCCACATTGTCAGCGCCACCGCTCGTCCCTGAAGCGTGAGTGGACTCGGGGGAGGGGGGACATTCTGGGGTAGCAAGTGGGAGCGGGTGGGTGCTTACTTAGTGCTGGAGTTTGGCTGTTTCTTGGGAGGGTTGGCAGTGGAGACCTTTCCTTCCTGCTGAGGGGAGAAGGCATCAGGGGTAATGCAAGTACAGGGGGTTTTACTTAGAGGAGGAGCAATGTCTCCGGAGTGGACGTTTGCACCTTTCTGCACACCAATTGGCAAAGGGAAATCGAGAAAGCCCATGGACAGGTCTGTCCTGTACATTTTCCTGGCCACCGATTATGATCCGGCACAGTGGTTTTTGTTTCAGGGAAACTCCCATGGATTCCCACGTGGGAATCACTTGAATCAACTCCTTAAAACTCTTAACTATTGTTTTTGAAGTTGTCCTTGAGAGGAAGATCACTTTTCATTTTAGTACATTCGGGAGTTTGGTACCCCCGAGGCCGTCTTTCCCAAGTCCAGAGATTCTAGTGTGTAAGGAGGCGGCTAGCACGGTTCAGTAGCTCAGGAGAGTCCGAGTTCCTAGGATGCACACAGCTCATTGAGACTGAATTCGGGGAGAGCACTTAATGCATTACCATTTCATAAAAGTGGCAACACTTTCTTCTTCCCTAATGCTCTTTTCTTTTTTGGGGAAGAGCAATGTATTTTATATGATAGCACATTTTCACTCGGGATTGAAAGGGCATGTGTGCGGCTTCTCTTACTTGGCTTCACTTGTCAACTTAGGAGAAGCCTATTACTCTTTCAAGAAAGTATTTCAGTTATCTTAAGAGTGCTTAAATTAGAGGTACAGAAAAGTCATGTTTCACATATGTAAGGTTAAACTAAGCACCTTGAGGGTTAAACATACTGTGGGATCACATAGTGTAAGACAGAATTCTGGTCCATTCAGACGACTGAATATGGGCAGAATAGAGATGTTTTGTAGAAATGGACACCTGGGCTTGTCCATCCATCTTAATTTCTCCATTTAGGATCATGATTAAATTGATTGAAAGTTTCTCACATTTTGCAATGTTTGGGTCCTGTTCTCTCTTTTTAAAGTGACTAGTCTGAAAGTTTACTAGTTTCTGCATTATGTATCAACTCACCTATCTTCAAACTTCCAAGATATAGTTTGAGGAATGCTAAAACAACCATGAGTTTATCTTTTCCTGCTTTTATAGGCTTTGGTTATTCTCTTCTGTTGTCTGTCCCAACTTTTTACTCTTAAAAGTGCTTTTAGTTTGTTTTTTTTTTTCTTCCACATTTCTCTAATCACTTTGTCCTCCTTTGGATCTTCTTGCTGTTTTCCTTTTCCTTTGATATTTTGTTTTTCATGTTTTCATAAGACACTGTAAATTCTACTTAGTGTAAATGGAAATTCACATGAAAATATTGGATGGTGAATGTAACTTTAGGCTTAGAATAAAACATGTTTTTGGATCTATTAACCTTACTTTGTGACCCTGAAGAAGTCGTGTATTCCATTTTTCGAAAAAAATGATTGAGAAACTAGTCTTGCATAGTTTGCTTTTTGGGAAGAAGGGGATGTAAACCAAGAAATTCTACTTTGAGTGTGTATCGCATCTTGTCAGAGTTGCATACTGACTTTAGGATTTGATTTGTTTTAAATTGGGGAAGTACTTTATTGAATGTAGAAATAACAAAACATTTGATACGTTAAGTCTTTGGGGGTACCTTCTCCTTACCAATGACAAATGCAGTTTGCATTGTAATCAAATACAAATTGCATAAAATTGTTGGAGATGGCCCAGTGGGTAAAGCTGCTTTCTGTATAAGTCTGAGGACTAGAGTCTGATTCAGAGAACCAAAGTTGGAAGGGAGAAAACTGACTCTGCAGAGTTGTCCTCTGACCTGTGTCACATGCACACACGTGTGGTGGTAGCAGTAATAGTAATAGTAATAATAATAGTAATAGTAATAGTAATAGTAATAATAAATAGATTTTTAAAAAATGTAGGAAAGGGGGAAACGTATTACCATTGTTACTCCAAGATCACTATATGCCAGGAACTGTCATTGCACCTTTCATTATGGAAAGGTTGATTTTTGGACTACCCAGGAATAATTGGAGTCTCTGAGCCAAACTTGGAAGAGCTCCTTCAGGAAGAAAAGAACACATACAAGCAAAATATTAAAGATTCAGAGTCAGAACTCTAAAAGTCGAGATCTAATTAGGAAGTTAGCTTGGTGGGAATACATACATACCTACTGCTGGAGGCTCTCCACTAGGGTTAAGATCAATTTGCGCCGTATAGATGCATGGTTACAGTTCACAAAAGAATTTGAAAACTGCTCCAGAGAGGGTAGTTGCAAGTGATTGGGAGAAATTATACTCTAGAACAAAGACATTATGCTGGCTTTAGGATTTTGTTTCTCTAGGAAACCAACGTTTTTACACCATGGGGGCTGCACAGAAGGAGGCGTGAAAGAGGAAATGCTTTGGATGTTTTTTAGCATGATGCTAGTAGTTTCTCAGGAGCAGGAATTCAGAAACGGGGTAGCAAGGCTTTGCTTTGGATGTTGAATTTTGGTTAAGAGCTGGATATCCATATAGTTCAAGTGTTGGCCCATTCTGCTTTTCTTTTTTTTTTTTTTTTTTTTTTTTTTTTTTTTTTTCGAGACAGGGTTTCTCTGCGTAGTTTTGCGCCTTTCCTGGAGCTCACTTGGTAGCCCAGGCTGGCCTCGAACTCACAGAGATCCGCCTGGCTCTGCCTCCCGAGTGCTGGGATTAAAGGCGTGCGCCACCACCGCCCGGCTCCATTCTGCTTTTCTTTCTCTCCCTCTCAACTTTTTCACTTTTTCTCTGTGGTTTCTTTTCTTTTTTTTTTTTTTTACTCTGTCTTTTGTCCCAGGCTGACCTTGAACTTGCTGTGTAGCTGAGGATGACCTTTAATTTCTAATCATCCTGATCCTGCCTTGACTTCCTGAATGCTAGACTTACTGGTGTGTGCTGCTATTTTTGGTTTATGTAGTTGCTGGGGTTTGAACCTAGGGCTCTGTGCATTATCTAGCAGGTACTTTGCCAACTGAGCTATATCCACAGGGCCATGCTTCATGTGGCTTTCAAGACTGCAAAGTAGTTTGGGTAATATGCCGACAGCGTGGGTAGAGATAGGAGTCATTCTTAAAGCCTTTAGGTTTCTGAGATTACTAATACCGAGTAAAGAGCTGAAGAAGGAGTTTGAAACTTTGGGGATGGGGCATATTTGTGTTAGCTTATGCACAGGCATAATAAGAGGAGAGACATTCCCCAAAAGACACGCTTCCTAAGTGAGCGAAAATGGCAGTTAGAAAGAAGAGCAGTCTTTAAACTTAGCTGTCAACTCAATCCCAGGGCATATAATTCTGTCTTAGAAACAGTTACAGGTTTTCAGTAGAGTATTTATATCCTGAGTTGTATTTTCAGAAAACTTAGGACTTTGATAGGGAACTAAAAAATAAAATGGAAGATTAATTTCTCCAAACTCAGGTTTTTGATATTTTCAACCTCCATGGAGATTTCTCTGTGTAGCCCTGATTGTCCTGAAATTTGTTCTGTAGACCATGATGACCTCAAATTCAGATCCAGTGCCTCTGCCTCCCTAGGTGATCATTGCCTCCCTAGGGATTATAAAGATGCATACCACCACAACCCAGCTAAGCTTGGTCTTAAT